CAGACACGTTCATGCGTGTCAGTGCCATAACGTGAATCGCAAGACACAGAACTGTAATCTAGCATCACGTCATTCGTATCGAGAGACTGGACTTTAGGGTAATTTATTGTTATCCGGAATTATTGGATCCACGATCGTCCTTCTCTCGTGCGAGCTTCGGTCCAGAATTTCGGAATATTATTCGTTTCCACAACAGGTTACGACGTAGTTGCTTCGAAAGAACGATAACACAAAAATATAACAAGCAACAAAATTATAACTTTCTTATTTCATTGTTCGTCTCGATGTTCCGATATTACGAATAATATATTTCTGAACAATACTGTTTAAACCATTTTTAACATAATCGAACAGAAGTAAACAATAGTTGTTTCATATCGTCATACAAAGCTCGATCAAATTTCGTGATGCTATGTGAATTTTCCAGGACAGTGTTATATCGCCCATAAAACAGAAATTTCACCTATAAGTCCTTTGGAAAACAATGTTAAATGTAAATCACGTACATATTTACGAAAGTGTAACTCGAGCATAGTAAACACGAGACAAATTACCAACGAGGGAGCATTCGTGACGAGCAGTTCAAACGCGGCCGCGCCATTTGCGGTTGCACAGTATTTAGAAACGTTTCCCCTGATGCGATCCGCCGATCTCCCAAAACGCAAGCCCGACGGGAAAAAAGAAATCACAATACCGCAGAAAAAGCGTGGAACGATCGTAATTCCCGCAGCTAATTCCACATCCAATAGCGGGTGCCGTAACGAGGTTTTGCGGAAGGGAGTCTCCTAATCGTCTAATCGTCATGGAACACGGCATGGAGCACCCTTCGATCGTTCTTGACGCGGTTTTCGTCGTTTCGAGGGGGAACTGAAACTTCTGATCGGCACGATCGCGAAGAAAGATAAGAGGTACGGTCAACAGAGAAGGAACGACAGAGAGATTTCAATCTTGACAACGATCAAGGTTTCCCATCGAGACGACGCTATTTGATTTTCAACCCCATCGTCCCTTTGACGATCGGTCCGTGTGCCTGCACGAGGGCAAGAGCGTTCACGTCGAAGGACGATCGACTTTGGACGCTGGTTTTATCGAGTTACGCAACGCGCCACGAAAGGCAGTAGACCAAGTTCTTTGTCTAACGGGCCATCTGTCACCCTGAAGAGAAGAGAGGCGACGTCGTCTCTCGCCAGGAGGGTGGTGTGGGGACAACGATGTGGGCGTTACGACAAACGCGTTACGACGACCTACTTGTGTTTGTAAATGCTTCGCTCATCACCTCTCTATCGTCTGAGCAGGCGGCGTACGACCGTATTTCCCACGAGCGCGCCAATACCAAACAGATAGCATCGTGATAAAAGAGAGATAGCGCGAGACAAGTAGAGAAGCGGACCTCTGCAAGGATACGTATGTGTATCGGGTATTGATTTTCCACGTACGGAGTTACGCCAACGGGGTAAGCCGAGACGCGACAAAGTTTATTAATCCTGGGGGCAGCAGACGCGTCTGCGTAGCCCCGGCCACAGCGAAACGCGCGTTCCACGAGGATACGAAACTTTTCACGTCGATCGCTGCGCTTGTATCCTCTGCCGCTTAGTTCCTCTGTCCACTTTGTATGAAAATTCGGACACTTTTCTTTCTTTTTTTTTTTTTTTTTTGTAGCTCATATTATCCGTGTATTAGTAAAATTCTATACTTGAAAGAATTTCGAATAATTGTAACGATCAGCTCTACAACGATTAATACGATAATCCAACGATAAGCTCAGGAGGAAGTTCTTTATGAGCTTAAGTGTACCTTAATCCGATTCGCATCGAGATATATCACGGTGCGTTTAGTTTACTGAAATATTTGAACGATTGCGACGAATTTGAATATATTCTATATATATTGAAAATATTCTATGTGTATTATTCTATGTATGTCGAAGGTATTCTTTCTATAAAAGGAATTCATAACGAAAATCTGTATCACATAGTAAAGTACCATATGTTTCTTCGCTTATTTCCTATTTTAGTATCTAAATCGATAGAAAATCTAAGTTAATCGTTTGGTATAGGTGTATAGGAGTTAGAAACTCAAGTCAAAGCAGATGGTTCGCACGAGAAATTCATTCATATTACACTCTGTGTTAGGTATACATCCTATACTATAGTACAAGAGCTATTGTTAAACTACGTACATTTCATTGCTTTAATACGAGTTTATCCTTTTAATTCTTTTCTAGTTTTACAATTGCAAACCTACCCAGAGTTACACGTGCATACGATAAAATAAAGGTTAATATTTATTAAATAACCATTAAAAACATATTAAACCTCATACCAATATCAATATATTACTAGTTCAAATCATTTTAGAAGACACATATCCAAAAACTGTATTAATATATTTATTATATTAATAATACTAAATATATAGGTGCAATAATATTAATCGACAAAGGTATAACACTCGCGTCAAAGAAATCAAATTGCAAGGTAGGAAAAACACATATGTATCATTTTATATGTATATTTGTGAATCATTTTAATCAGTATGCCTGTTCTATCGTTGAGAAGTCCGCGGTCCATCTCATCCAAACTTATTCCAACACATAAACCCAATCATTCTAAATTCTTGTATATCGCAATGAGAAGCGTCGTTAATTCGGTTAGATGGAAGTTTCGCGTAGACTGCCGGGTACGACATAAATTGGTCAGCCGAAAGGCGCGGTAACGGAGGAAAGGAACGCGGCAGAATGAACGGGGAACATCTAATACATCATAAACTTGGAAACAAAGAGGAGAGAGGATGTCGTGGCAGCGCCGGAGAATCCGCCGGGCGCGGTATCCTCGGAACAAAACTTTGCCTATTTGTTAAGTCTTGCCCGCTGAAACTGTCTCAGATACTGGCGTCGAACTATGCCTCACACCTATGACCTCCTTAGTTTCGTCCTTCTTCCTTCCTTACCCTCGCCACCAAAGCGTTGTACCGATGCATCCTTCGCCGAGACCGCTGAATAGGGGCACAGAAAGACGCATTCTGATTCGTGGAATTTCGCTGTTTCACGAGAAATTGATGATACACTACAACTCAGTTTTCCTTTCGCGATGAAAGTAAAGGAGGTTGAAACACGTACATAAATTTTTGGTAGTGTTTCGGTTTTAAATATCATGAATCGGTCGAGTTCGAAGTTGACAAGACTTTGCAAATGGATAGGAAGATTTATATTTACTCTGTGAATTATTATTATATAATACATTTATTATATATCATATAATATTTATTTAAAGATTTATTATATATTGTATAATAAAATAGAGAAACTTGGGAGAGTATTCGCTGAAAGGACCGAGAAAGTATGTAGAGTCAATGTATGGAACTTTGCATTTATTTCATATAAATAGACGCTATTTCGTTTATATTATGTTGTAGTCAAATTTTAAGGAGTTAAATTTCTCATTAAAAAGAGCGAGACAAACAATATACACGTGTAATATGAAATCGGAAACATTTCTTCATCGTAAGATGTAATCTTGTATTTATGGATAATTTAAATATATCACTTGGTGATATATCAAATGTGAATAAAAGATCGAAGTGCGAAAAGATTAATTGAACGAAAAGAAATACCGTATCGCGAGAGAAGATCATTATTATTACGATATCAAAGAAAATATTCACTCATAGTAAGGCTTGAAACTTTATATCCGCTTTCGCTAGAAATGTACTTTCCTTTTATTTGAATACGATATTCACATATGTAAATTTTATATCGACAGATGTATATCTTCGTATTTTCCTGTTTTACTCTACATTGTTTGCATACCCATGCATTATTGTAATTCAGCTACATTATTTACAATGAATGAATAAATTACAACCGACAAGTATTCATATAAGATGCATATACCAAAGATACCTATCGATCTTAGAATCGATGTAGGGTAAATATATTTCACTTTTTTTGTGAGTACTATAATTGTATGCATTTTACATATTTTTGCATCTTTAAACATCTCATGAAAGCATAATAAACCATAATCCAGCTACTACAATTCTCCTAAATTTACAACTTTTCGAAACCCGTTTCTGTAGTCCACATATATACACTTGCAATCGCTTTTTTGCCGAAGCTGCAATTTAATCGTCAAATAACACCAACTCGAAGACGCGAACAATGGGTACGTCGCCACCTGCAATGCAATGTAAATTAGCAGGAAGGCTAGCGTAACTATTTCGAGCCGGTAATACCTATCGGAAACTAAATTCGTGCCGGAACGAGAATTCAAAATTAAAAAGTTTGCGCGGACGAGGCTGGTCATCTGCATCTAAATTTTCTCCGGCGCAAGTTTCGGCTGGCACACGGCTGTTTCAAAAGGATTTTAGCGTGTCCAGAGGGACAACTCGAAAACTAAAAAAAAAAAAAAAAAAAGAAGAAAAAATACGAGAGGAGAGGAAAAAACAGAAAAAAAGGCTGATAAAATTTTTTTGTTAGCCGTGCCGTGATGTATGCGTGATCAGAATTCGCGAAGTTTCGCGCATCTGGTTCGAGGCGAAAGTTCGAGTGCGACACCCGCACATGACATCGCTGTGTCGGAGTGTGTATCGAGGGATGGGACAGCGAGCTTCGGGGGGAGGGTGGTTTCATTGTGACGACAATATCGCCTTGGGCGGCATTGGCGAGGCAGAGATGCAAATTTCGTGGAGGACGGCTCTGTTCTCTGCGTTTTCATCTACGGACAACGAATTTGGTAATACTGCGAGGGATTCTAACGGCACTCGCTCCTTCAGGATCTGCTTACCGAAACAATTAATTTTCCTTAAGACGGAGTACCTTTGATCATTATATGAATTTAACGTGTGAAATCATTTCTCGAAATACTTTCAATAATTTTAGAAATAATTTGAACATGAGGAAACGAAAATTAATATTACTAGAAATGGTTTCCCTTAAATCTTTGTTACCAAGAAGCCTTCATTTTACGAAGATGTACATTCGCAATTTTCTTTTGTTGCAGGGGACAGCATCTTTCAAATCGCCACAGCAACGTTTATCGTAAGTACCAATATCCTTCATCGTTATCCATCGATACTCTTCAACTCCTTCTCTAAATCACCCTCAAGCTAACCTCGACGATGTTACGCAACGCGATAGATGTCTATACGTATAAGAACTTAAGCTTAACCCATCGAAGCTCTCGAAGAAAACGAAGAATCGTTTATCTCGCGTCTATAGAGACGCGATTCCTCGGCTTTCTACGCCATTGCGTGCATACACTCGTGCAGGGAGCAGCGGGTTAGCAGAGGGAAGGGGTTGACAATGCAGCTGCGACGGGGTGGCAGATTCGTAGTCGTCGTAGTAGTCTCGTCGTCGTCGTCGTCGTCGTCGTCGTCGTCATCGTCGTCGTCGTCGTCGTGCAATGTCAGTGGCGATATGACGGTGACGGAGACAGAGTAGGAAGAACGAAGGGTGGTTAGACGTGTGGGAGAAGGTAGGTAAACGGGTGCTCGAAGAAGGGAGGAGAAGGAGAAGGGTGGAACTGATAAACGGAGGTGGAGACGCTCTAAGGTACATAATCAAGCTTGCTGATTCCTTCGCTAATAAAAGTCTCACTGTCACAGCCCATCCCCAGCAGTTTCGTACCTCACCCTCTTTTGCCCTCGTCATACTCTCGTTTCTCTCGTTCCGTGGTGTTCGCAGTACACGGAGATCTACCTTTTCCGCGGCCTCTGGCTGACTCTGGTTTTCTTCTCTCTTGCTCGCGCGCTCGCAAGTCGCGACACACATGCGTCACGTAGACAAAAGTGCATGTGTGCCTACGAGCGCGGTAACCGGGTCCGCGAAATGCACCCTTGCACGTAGCCAAGTCCCGCGACAGAGATCGGGGTGAAGTCAGGCTGTGTAAGAAGACAAAAGTAGCAGGGTACGGGAAGGGGCAATGAGAATTGCACGAGATACGGGTCAGAAATGCTTGCCGTAGCAGCATCTGAAGTTGCAATTTTTTTCATCTCCCGATATCCACTCGAAGATTACGCATACGTGTATTCGTACAGTCGTTTCGTCTCGCGTCTCGATTTCCTACTCTCTTCTGTGGACTTGCCTCGTTTCTGCATTCGTTGGGGTTCGTCGATATCGTCCGGGACTTGCGACGATGAACACTCAGTATGTATATCGATTAGGGAGCGACCGACGATCCCTTCGAGATCCGCATCAAGAACGATTCGCAAATTAATTTGGCTTTGTCGGTGAGTCTGCCGCGATACGCTGATCTTCAAGGTAAACAGTCCATGTACGTCGCTCTTCGTTCTCTTTCTGTGATTCTATAAAATGTTAATCGGTATTCAGTGGAAGGATGCAAGATGCATGGACCATTGCATTAATATTTTATTTGAAAGCACGAGATCTTATAGATTATAGATGCATCGTTCTTTCGTTCGTTTACTCACAGAGTAAGACTTTCGATAAAAATCCCATCGTCGTAGTTTTACTTCTCACAGTTTCGTGAAAATATTCTCATCCTCGTTGGTAGTTCACGTGGCATTTGTATCTCGATTTAAGAAAATAATTTCGATGTAATAAATTCCCGTTTCCCAAGCAAACAGAGAAGATGAAACATATCGATCTAAATGCAGTTCGGTAAAAACTATCCATCACCTAAACACACCCCTTCGATCAAAACCTTAAAAAAAGGGCTCCTGCGAGTCCATTAAACCCGATACAAACCAAACAGCGAGATGTCCGTGGAGAAACACGATCCAAATCAACGGAACAGAAGAACGTGTACACGTATTAAAAAAGTGAAGAGAGAGCCGGACCATTGAATGGTGCGGTTACCCTCGAGGTTGTTAAGGTGAGCCAAGGGTAAGGTCTCGGTGTCTTCGTTTCAGGATCGATCTTTAAAGGGCCAAGCGTTCGAGTTCGAGGGCCCTTGGTCCAAACAGGTCTCAAGGTGTGTGTCTCTGGTGGATTTAAAAGGCCCTTAAGGTGGCCGTGTGCAGAGCAAAGAACCAGATGGCTCGACCTACCCCACCCTTCTCGTCCTTCTGCTTCCTCCACCCACGTGTCTAGGCGCTCCAGTCGTTCTCGACATGAAAATGGATTTTCCTTCGTTCTTTACTACCACTCCGTCTTTCTCTATCTTCCTTCCGTCTAGATTTCTTCTTCTACCCGTTACAATTTCCTATACGAGAGAACGAACCGTTTTTCCCCTCTTCTGGCACGCGTTAATAACGTATCTTGATGCGGCCGAGAGAAACTCCGTCGTTCGACATATGTTCCAAAGTCATTGTGCATCGTACGGTGAAAGAAACGATACAGTCGCGTTGCTCGATCGTGAAACGCTCCTGGATGCGGTTAGTTTTTGATGATGTTAAGCTCCCGTTAGAGAGGAGGCGGTTCAAAAATGGAGCCGGATATAGCGGAGTGTGTCGGCCAATCTGTCGCGAACAGTCGAAGAATTGGAAGGCTCGCGAGGGTGGAAGAAAAGATAGAGAACACTGGTGGATTCCGTTTCGGCCTTTTTATCGGAGGCACTTTAGCCGTCGAATCATTGCGTTCGCATGATTCCATAGTTCAGTTTCTGGCAGGCACGCGTGTGTGTATAATATACTTGAAAGTCGAAAACGTAACGGAATTCGACGTCGAGAGGTGAGAAACGGTGCTGAGGTGGGTTTCTGGAGGAAACTCGTGCGGGCAGATGTTTCGCGAGACAAGTTGTTTTGTAGACGATGATAGTATTGGAGGAACGTTGGAGAATTGAATTAGACGCTGAACGATGAATCGGCTCTTTAGTAAATGGCAGCTTCGTTAGTTTCTTCATGACCACTTCGCAAAGCCACTTCAATGCAGACGTGACGTTAGTAAGTTTGATTGAAGCGGAAAAGGAACAGGGATAGAATCAGTTGCTAGAAAAATAATGATTGTACCAAATTGATAGTACTGTATCAAAATAAACAACGATGCTACAGCCATAAAATTGACCATGTATATTATGTTATATAAAATTGATATACGTAATAATGAGCATATAAGTAGCGAAAGTAGTTATAGCAAATTCAATTTGATTTATTTCGTAATTATTACTCTGTACTTACTACTATAATGATTACACGAAAGGTATCTTTATATTCGATATTGTGAAATAAAATAGGAATAAATTTTTCCATAATGCCATTAGTTGAATTTACGAGTAAGCATTTGCATATTTATAAAACTATTTTAATTTCACATATGAGTATTTCTATTCTGACAAGTAATTAGATAATACAAAATTGAGAATAATAGCCTATCTTAAATACTTTGATACATAAGAAAATTCAAATATAATGTCCCGTATAAAATGAAAAAGAACTCACAGGACTCCAATACGATTTAGTAAAGATACCAGGTGTAATGCTCGGAAAAGACCGATCGGGCACGCGTTCAATCCATGCGGAAAAACGAAGGTACACAGCGCAGACAAAAGGTTTTACGGTCAGGACATTATGTTTACCACACGAAACGCCCCCGCAATACCTTGCTCGGCACACCGGATGTCTCGTGCTGAGAATTAGCAGGAAAGATTTACGACCGACGACAAATCGGTCTGTAGTTTCTCTCTCTCAACCGAGGCGTGAAAACGGTCGAGTCTTCCTCGTTACTGGCCATTTTGACGCAGTTTAAGAGGCTTTAGTCACTGTGCAATAACACGCCGGACAATGAACCGCCTCGCTTTACACCCATTTTCGCGCCTTTGTACATTTTTATGGTACCCGTTGTAATTAGTTCGGATCCTTTTTTCGACTAAAGAATACGGTCACTGAAGGCAGTGGGCAGGAAGTTTTCCTTAACATAACCGAATCTTTTGTCGCTGTATTAATAGATCAAGAGGCTAAGGTCCAATTGAAAGGATACAATGATATTCTTCGGATCTTTTGTCAAGTTTTGTGTACAGCTTGATAGAAAAATTCTACAACTCCTTTTACACAATAATTTATTAGATTAGTGATATTAACGATTTAGCAAGTGATCAATTAGAGATTATATTTATACATTAACATTGCAGAAACAATTCCTTCATTTTTAACGAGTATTTGACAATGTACAATGATGATGATGAACATTAGCCTTATATCAATTCATCGAGTAATTTGGTTTCCTTGATAAACATTAAGAAATTCTGATTTTTGTTCTCTTCCAAATTATCTTCCAAGTTATATAAACAATTTTTCTCTCTTACAATTTTACAATTTTATGTCAAATTTGATAAACTGTCTTATAATTTGTGCTTGCTTTAATACCAAATCTGTTACCCTTATACATTATACAATTTATTAGAACAATTTATCTGTTTATTAGAATTTATTAATTCATTTGTGTAAAAGCCTTCGAGCTTACGAATACTAAAATCTATCCAATTTGTTATATAAAAAATATACTTCCGTGATCTGAGGATTAGTCTGCTCCGCGTGCCGTGTCATTTTTCCAAAATAAAATATTGCATTTCTGCCCCTTTGGTACATATACCGAAGAGGGCGCATCCCGAACAAATCGATCGAAAGTTCGTCACCTTAATAATCTCTTTCTTTCTGTCGTCCCCCGGTTCACGGTATTGCACGCAGCACGCGAGGGAGCAGCCGGGCGTCTGGCCAGACGGAATTTTAATGGGGCACGGCACCCCATGGCAGTTCCGTTCTCTAATGTGGAAGTAGCTCGTGCTACCTGAGCAGCTGCGCATGTGTGCGAGGAAAAGGGAACTCCCTTGACAGAAGTTTTATTTTATTTTGCCTTACCTTATGGGGCCACCGATGAAGAGGGGGGACCACGCTACGATACACGGCCAGAGAAAGAGGGAGTAGGGTGAGACGAAGAGAAAGGAAAGAAGCCCCATGGGTAGACGCCGCCAGGTACCCACTGCGGGCCGAACGTCACGGTTGAGAGGGGGGCCCATCTGCCCCCTAACGAGTGTGTGACGTCAGGTGTGACGACGTGTGTTACGAGCTAGACGCGTCTTCTGCGTTTTTCACCCTCTTCTGTATCCCTTCGTTACAAAAATGTATAATGCACCAATGATATACACTATACAGGATGTTTCAAAGAATTTCGATCAAACTTCAGAAGCATGTAATACAAACCAAAATAAATTCGATTTTCGCTGTTCAAACATTCGAAACGATAAAACATCCGGTCGAATCATTTATTTCTCTTTTTCCTTATTTACAATTGTTCAACATCAACTGCATTCGTGTATAAATATTTTGTTAAGATAATGCATATATATAAATATGAATAAAGTATACATGCAAGTATTTTATTTCAAAAATTATAATAAATGCGTGGCCAGGAATATTATTAATTTTCCAGTTATACATTGCATCTTATTTTATTATTTCATTACGAACAAGTTCTTTGGGATTCTTTAATATTATAATATGCAAATGCCAAGAACGCACTTGTTTCTGTCGATTCTGATTTCTTATCTTCTTTTCATGGTCCTTTGCATGTTTTGAGCCGCGTTGTTCTTCAAGCAAGGATACGATACGATATAGACTAAAGTCTTATAGCTTCGAAATTAACGATATTCGATCTATTCTTTTTAAGACTTTCTTACTGATTTTGGCGAATACTATATGCTGCTGACTTTTCGAAACAGCATATGTAATCTGTCTGCGTCGATTTTTGTTTCAACTGGGCGTATGTAGGTACGCGCGTGGAATCGTCCAGCGGGGCAATTCATCGAATCGAGGCCGCTGCGTTTTCGCGGCATCCATTTGCCGCGATTGTGCTCGCCGCAAAAATTGTCTCTTTCAATTTGCCCGGTGTCGCCGGCTGTATAAAATATGAAGTTCGGGGTTTCACGGTTAATTGTATTGGCGTCTGAAGGGTCACCTTTTCAATTCGTGAAATTAATTTCGTGGCCAGCGCGAGCGCAAGCGGCCATCTCACCCTATTGATTGGAAAGTTTACGCGAATGCCTATACATCGATTTCGATTTCGCTTGGAACTTTGCCGCGCGCGTCTCAAAGCAACCCTTGATTAATGGAAAACCGTTTTTCACGTTCTGCGATCCTTCGTATAATTAATTATTTCTTGAATCAGCAAGGTTGAAATAAACGTTTTGATTGGAAACATCGACCGATTCTAGCCGCCTTTTTATCTTGGCAATCGATGGTGAAAAAGCGGAAACGAGAAGTCGCGAACTTTGGATGGCAAACGCGGAAAGTCACGCGCGCCTTATGGTCGTTTATCGCTTCGATACGTTAGGAAGTTCGTCGAAGTACCAGGATGGTAGGGATAATTACCGGGTTTTCTAAATTACAGTTAATTATGCCAGTCAGTTTGGCAACAACTTGCTTTCTTCCAGTGGCAAAAGCTGTTCTATAAAAATTTGCTTGAATCGATAGCGTGGTTCTACCGGTTTTGTCGATTCACGAGGTTTCCTTTTACAGGTCTTTCACAGTTTCTGTACGAATTGATTTTTACGCGAAACGTATGAAAGATAAAAAGCTCCTTTATCATGTGTGATACGTTCTCTTTTAAATATTTTCGTTTTTACACAATTCAAATATTAAAAATTACCGATAATCGTTAAAAATAGGCAAAAAGACTACCGAATTCGAGGCATGAACAGTTTTTAATCTATACAAATAATAAAATAAATTGGAATATTTGAAAGTTAAACAATATTTCTGTCTGAGAATAAGATATAGGTTTCCAGAGATAAGAAAATGACAATTTACTAGAAATTAGGATAGAAATCCTTAAATTCTCTAACTTGAAATGGCCGAATTGATTCGTAGATGTAAATTTTCTTAGAACAAATACACGAATATTCAAAACTACGTAAACAGGGAACGACATAACTTATAAAATCTCGCATTTCCGTAAATTATTACCTATGTCTATCAAAATCATGTTGTTTTCGTTCTTTCAAAGGCACTGCATTATATTCTTATTGACACAGTGGTTCGATATCCTTGGTACATATTACGTTTCAACGATCGAAACACGCTGGCTCACTCACTTTTATCGCAGTAGGCGTATTTCGTATCTTTAACAAGACCGTTAAATTGTTCTTTATCACACGGCTCGGAGTTATCGTGCTAGGCGGTTTCTGGAGATATATGCACGCACACTTACTTGTTCTCAGCACGCCCAGAAAGCCTGTGCGTGATTTCTGCTGTTTACAAAGAACATTCACATCCGAAGAGACGAGTCAGACTTTTCCGCGCGCGTTGACATCCATTTCAAAGTCGTCGTTCAATCAGCGTCAAAAGACTCGAGTAAAACACGTTCCCCAACCACGCGAACCCGTTAAAATAGAATATTACATTGCAACAAAACACTTGTATAAATCGAAATTGTTGCAATATTTTTTTCTATCAATTTCATCATTTTGTTGGGAATGGAATTTTCTTTTGGAAATATACTTTCTAAGATCGACGAGTCTTTACGATTATAAATATTTCTTTTCAATTTTTATACGCTGTATTTGCATATATTTTATATTTATTTAATCTTCCAACGATATGCTGAAGATTTTGAAATTTTTAATACACCAATCTTTTAATAATTCTATTTATGTTGCTACACGATGTTGCATTGCTCTTACGATTGGTCCCACATTGGAAACTTGGACACAAAATTAATTCGGTTTCAGTTTTAACTAATTTCCTATTTTCACGTTATAGATACCAAAATGTAGAAAAGGATAACGAATTAAGATAAGGATAATGGACGCAATTATATTTCATAAGTCAGGTCATCGATTTTTACTATATATTTTTGTTTCGATACAAATAAACTTCGAAAATTTGGGAATAAATGAGGATTATGACAGAGATATTGCAAAAATGAATTTCGGTCAACTGTATCCTACACTTTCTGCTCCGAAACGAAAACCAGAATAGACGGCCAGTGACCCTATCTCATCTGACGTTTCAAATAACGCAGAAAATCAGATAGTACTTAGAATTAAAACATTCGTCAAGTGTCCTATTTTCATTTTACGCCTAGGAATCGACTCATATAGAATTACATAAAAGTACATCATTTTATATAAACACGTACTTTCAAAACCTTCTGATCGTAATAGAACTTCAATGAATAATACTTAACACCCTATTTTCCAACCTTGCCTGCTAATTTCAATTCATATCGTTATAATTATCATACAAATATTTTCCTGCCACCTCCAACAATCTCGAACCATTATCAATCCAGACACGTGCCTCTACAGAAACCATAAAACTGGTGTGTCGTTGACCATCCGGAAAACACGGGATTGGTTGCGCAAAGGGTTGGCTCAGCATGCGTGCAATCCATCAAAGAGTCAAGAGTTGGCCCTCCTTCAATCGGCGTTCGCATTCTTCGAGGCGAGCAAGAGCGCGCGCGTGCACGAACGCCGAAAGAATCGTGCATATGCATATCGATCGATCGGTGGTCGGTCGGTCGGTCGCGTGTTACACGCCTTGCACGAACGAGCTCCAAGTATAAGTACGTAATACGCAGGAATGAAGGGGCATGCGTCACGGGACATCTGCCGCGGGCGCGTGGCCCCC